AAAGTGCAACAAGAACAACGCAGAACGAGCATGGAAACAAGGACGTAGGACGTAGGAAGCAGGACGCAGGACGAGGAGCGAGAAGCGTGGAGCAAGGGATGAGGACAGCAGCGGCAACATCTCAACATTATGTGCCTTTGTTGCTATTGCTACTCAGACCAGGCTTGCAGGAAGCCAGGGCCCTGCGATTGATGGATGCCTGCAAAGAGGACGCCAGGCAGAGGACGTCGAACGACGGAAGAGCGACCAAGGAGATGCCACAATCAACGTCATTATCCGATGGCATTGAGCGTGCTTAAACTGTCACCTCAAGGAAGGAAGTATGGCTGGGACATGGCAAAGGAATTTCAATTAAATTTTGGAGCCGATGAAAATATTTGCACATTTATTTTAAGTGCTTAAGTAAATAACACTAAATCTGTTTAATGAAACACAAAGCAGCTTCGCCTAAATTAATCTTGGCAGCCAGGACAACCTGGACAGCCCGGGACATGGGTCAGTTTTACAGTTTTCCGTGTGCATGTCAGCCTTAATTGGCTTAATACATTAAAAATACGTATGCAAATTGGGCAAGGGCCAAAGGGATCCCGACTACAATTTAATAAATCAAAGTAAATTGTGCATGAAAATTACTAAATTTTCACCAGAAAGCTTTACAATCAACGCCACAAAGCGATTCGTTTTTATGATCCCTTATGAGCGCATCCCGGGGATTACTCTACCGAGGAAAATGTGCTGGATAAACAATCCACATAGACATTCATATATATATATAGCTTAATTATAACAAATTATCTATTGATGTGACTGGCTCGGGGGTCCAACTTCTGGCTAAATCACGTGGCGATAGTTCATTTCCACAGCCATTAAAATGAGCAATGTGCCCCCCGACAGTTGGACACACGGGCATATGGTGCGTTCTTTCATCATTTGTGGCTTTCACATAATTGCCGTTTACTAAGTGACTAGGGAGGATAGGGAAAATATTTCGCAACAGTGCTGCTCAGCTTATTAAGGCGAACAATTATTATTAAAGATGGCTTTACTTTGTTTATGTATTATACATTTTGGTTGACCAATTTTCACCGGAGGTATTATGTTTGGTAGGTCGAAAGTCATGGTACTACTGTCAGAGAATTTGTATTTGCCGTTATATAAGTAATTCATATAGAAATACGTTTGTAACTTCAACCAAAGATTACAATTATATCCTAGAAACAACCTCACAATTTTGAAATGCCAAGAAGATAGGTAGGCCCTAATGCCTTTCAATTAGCTTGTTAAATAATCTGCGAGCAAATATATCAATTATTGCTATCAATTTCAACAATTAGTCAAATCAAGCAGATTTGCAATTTACGGCTATGCATGTTTATTTGAATTATTTATTCAATGAATGCGGCTTTAATGACAAATGTGATCAACGAAACCCGCTTAACTGCGTTGTGTGTGGCTGTGTGCGTGGAGTCTGCCTGTTTCACATTAAGTGTAAAGTTATTTATGAACGTTTGTTAATGCATATTGCACTAATGACCCTAAAACACATACGAAGCGTAACGATTTTAAGGCTCTTAGCTGTGTGTAGGTAACTGCCGGGGATAATGGAATAAAGTTAAATGGAATTAGTTCGCTGCCTAAGCGTTCATTGATTTAAGCAAATAATGGCCCAATACATGTGCACATTCCCAGACACACACACACGCATCGAGCTTGTGGCATAATTGCGAATTGTTAATGAGCAGCTGTAAAATTTCAACAACTGTCATAAACAGAAAGGGACAGAGACTCCGAAATGGTTGTGAAGTCGCCCGGGGTCCAAAGTGCCCTTGTCTGCCTGACCCACGCCCTCCCTGAACCACCCACTTTGCCGTTTTCCACATTAGAGTATGTCACTAATTTTATAATGCAAGCCGCAAGACATAAAATCTACAAAGCCAAAGTGCTTGAGAATACAAGTCAAGCATCTGAGGTGTGGCAGACATACTCATATGTACGGTACAGTGCGTATCATTGCTGACAATTTGAAAATTAATTAAAATTGGTTTGACATTTTTCATTAACTTAATTTACTTTTTGCCTACAAAATTAAATTAAATTGATTTATTTTGTCTCTTTAAAAATTTTCCTAATTTGTCCTTTCTGTGAGTGTTTTATTTTGAAAACTTTCCCAAGAAAATAAATTAACAATTATTTTAATAAATTTAATCAAAGATAATACCATTACTTTTTTTAATTTACGGGGAAATTGATTTTTGTAATTATTATTAAGGCGATCATTTAAGGAATTAAATACCCACAATATTTAGCATGTCAAAAATGTAGACACCGTTTTCCGACCTAATTTACTACAAATTACAGTAAAAAGTACCGTCTCGCACCGTTCTATTGTGGTGATGACCCTAATGGTTTGTCTCGGTCAGCATTTAGCTTCGTTTTTGTGGTTGCTCCTCCTTTGTCTTTGCGGGAATGGATATATCTGGGCCTTTCGGAGCGGGTCTTGTCAAATTGCTGCGTTGACAACTGACATGCGTCTACAATTCCGTCTTCACTCTGTCTCATTCACTCCCTGCGCTGTCCTTGTCTCGCATACTTTCAAGAGAAACGTTAGCTTTATTATAGCCTTTAATTACTGTTGCCCAGTTAGCCAGTTTGCCAGTTGTCACGGCCGGCAGCAAACTTAATACCGCTCTCACTTGCTTGAATTTCAAAACCTTTCGTGTTTACGGCATTTGCTTGTAATTTTATTACATTCCACAGTCTGCCCTGCCCTGCCCGTCTCTTCATAAATAATTAATGCCTTTGAGGTATGTAAACTAACAGGATCCGGTTGTTCAACGGTTGCTCTGTACGTGTGTGTGTCTACGAGTGTCTACTTTATGTCCTGTAAATAAATTTGAGTGCGTAAGTGTAATTGTGTTTGCTTTAGTTAACAAGTATAACCTCCCCGCATATGTATAATGGCTATAAAACGAAGCCTTTGGCGTTAATGGGTGTATCTAGTTAACGCTTGTGAGTGGTCGAAATACCTCCTGGGTTCATCAGAGACTGTTAAAAATATGATAGGGCTATCGTAAAAAGATTGTTATGTAGATATAATTTGATTGGAATATTAAGAGTTTAGTTTGTCAAAGCCCAAGCCCTACGTTAATTAATTCTTAAACGATTAGTCACACATTGTGTTGAGGGTAATGACTTGGTATATAGGAATAAACTTTATATTTGTTCGAGTATGCACAGTCTTAAACTAACTCCAATTATAATGCATATTAACAATATCTGATTTCGTATATTTTGCTTGGCATATCTGCTTTGTTTATTGAAGCATTACCCTTGTGTTAATTAATATGGAAATGCTTGGGCATCAATTTATTTTGGATAATTTGTGTACTCAGCTTACATCAATATAATTGTCCCAAAACCAACATGCAAACGTTTAATCTCATTGCCAAACAAGCCAGCCATAAAGCACCTGAAGTCATCTAGTCCGACACTGCTCAAGTTTGAGTTCTTTGATCGGCATTATTGAACTAATTGCCATTGAATGGCTTGGGTATTGTGCATTAATTCGGCGTCTGGCCAAAAAAGCATGCGCACCGATGCGATAAGGCGACAGGTGATATTTATGAGAAAGGTGTGGAATTTAAGTGCACTGGCGCAGCTTTAACGAGAAGCAGCCGCCGGTGGAGAGGCCACATTGCAACATTGCAGCAGGCGTAAATTGGAGTCTAATAAACACATAATCAAGGTTCATTTGCTGCAGGAGGCACTAAATTGCATTAGCACAAAGGCTGACATGCTTTGCCGGGCTAACTCTACCCCAGCACGAGCACCCCAGCCCCATTTTCCGCCTTTCGCCCGCACAGCTTGCAAACTTGTCGACAAATATGTGTGCAAGATATTTGGCCTACGGGCGTGTCGTGCGGCTTGCTCGAGTCTCCCTACGAGCCCCGAAAATCGGTGACAGTTTAGTTTATGGCCCGTAACAAGTTAAGGCGTATATATCTTAGTTACATTCGAATGCGTTGCAATGCCCCAGGAGCTGGAACAACAAAGGGCGACGTTGTTATGCAACAGCTGCGGCTAAGGAGACATTCTAATGAGCCTATGTGCCCTCGAAGCAAATGAGCATCGTCAGGGAACTCATCGCAGGGAAGGGAAGATCAAGTTTCCCCGGTTAATCAAACAATGCAAAAGGCTTGATTTGCCCAAACAATGACTGAATCCAGCATACTCAAATATGTATTTCAGAGACGTTTTGCGTCGGGGAAATATCAGTAACTGTGTGCCAGAAATGATATTGAATTACCTTAGAACCTTTAGCTAAAGCTGAATACGAAACGTATTTGCAACGATTTATCTAGTTGTGTTTTTATATAGAATTCGTGTCTAGCATTATATGTATCTCAAATATTTTTTGGTTTATAAATAACATTGCCTTTAAATCAAGGGGATATTTTCCATTTTTTATGAAATAAATAATCCAAGATTCGACCATTTATTTCCTGCATAAAAGATTTTTATATAAAGTGTGCTTAGAATTTCCTATTCAAAAAAGTTTTGGTTTTAAATACCTGGAAGGCACAACATGTCAAAATTAAGTTTCAATCGAAGAGCTGCAGCATCCGAGTGTCCTGCCGCTTGGACACCCGCCCACAGCGGCACCATTTAGCCACCCAATGGCCCCGAAATCACCTGGGTGCACTCTAGTGCACCTGCCCACTAATTGCTTTGGGCGTTGGAATGCCGGCTAGTTTGGCAGTCGGACAATGGCATTCGCTGCAATCACGACCCCAGTGCGACCCCTAGCCCAAGAACTGTCTGTGCCCGCTACTAATATTCCCGCCTGGTGGCACGCCCACTAATTAAGGCAATGGCCCCGCCCCGCCCACATGTTAGTTAATTAATTATCAGTCAGTGCGCGACTGTTAGCCGCTCTTTGTTGTGGGCTAGCTAATGCATTATGTTTATTACAATTCTGTGTTCCATCGGAAGTATGGTACTTAGTTCGAGTCCGAATCGGAGTAAATCAGCCGCTTGGTCTTTCGGTTAGCGATGCGCGACTTGGGACCCTCGTCGGAGTCCGACTTCGAGCTGCGGCGGCTTGGAGGTGCCATCTTCGACTTGGAGGTGCTGGTGCTCGGCTCATCGAGATCGTCATCGTTTATTATGTCGTTCACATCGCTGTCGTAACCGTCTTCTTCGTCGTCGTCCTCGTCAGTCGACTCTGATCTCCCGAGATTCACGGCCATGTTACGGTTGGTGCGTATGCCTTGGGTGTTACTGCCCCAGGTCGAGGAGGCGCAGAGAGATTGGGCAGTTCCGCTTTCCAGACCCTCTTGATCGCCGGTTGGCTGCTCCGGGTCCGAATCATCTGCCGTGCAATGAGGCATGGGCTTTACACGCGGTTTTCTCATGCTCATCTGAATCTCACGCCGCTTTTCTCGCTCCTCCCTGCGGAGATTGGCTATCTCCTCCTTGGCCCGACGATCTCGATCTGTTGCAGGATTGGCGACCAAATCCGAGAGCACCTTAACAACGCCCGTCTGTGGCTTATTCATAGCTCTATTTCGCAGGCCCTGCACATGGTTCTGACCAAAGGTGGAGTCCAGCTTCGGCCGCAGAGTCATCTTGTCGGTGATGGATCCCTGGGCTTGGTAGCAGCTCTCCAGGCGGACATACAAGTGGTTTTTGTCATCGATCACCTTATGGTGCATCACATCGAAGACCTCGGAGCCCACATGAAAGGTCTCGGAGCCATCGGACCAGCGCACAATCCGAGCATTCGATTCCCTGACCTGGTCTTGGTTCTCTCTCCAACGCACTGTTGTCTTCAGGCGATTCAGGAAATCCCCACGGGCTTGCTCGTCCTTCAGATCATCTGGCGTCATGCTGTTTTTAAAGGTTTCAGCTTCGAAGGCCCCAGACTCAACGGGTATGAACTGAGGAACTCTGAGAAATTGCAATGGACCTCCGATCAGCCCAGCTCCAACTTCCGGCAGGGTGGTCTTGAACTTGACAGTCAACTTGTCTCCCAATACCTTTCTTTGCTGATCTTCAACAGTTTCGGGATTCTTCATGTGAGAATTTCCTGAATCGTTGTCGAATCGAATATCCGATAGCTTGGATAGCACGCGTTCATTATCATTATTATCATCATCGGAAATGGAGGCGGAAGAGATATCTTCCAGTCCGATTAGTTCACTTAATTTAGATATATTTTTTCCACCCGATTCGTCCTCAGAATCAGAGGTATCAGTGTTCTGACCAGAACGTGATTTTTCCTTGGATATTGATGTCGGCGATGCCTGCATCGGTTCATCCTCTGAATTCGAAGTTTCATCGTTAGTATCGGGAGTTGACTTTTCCTTGGATGTCGGTTTCGGCGATGCTTGCATCGGTTCATCCTCCGAACTCGAAGCTTCATCGTCAGTATCGGGAATAGACTTGCCCTTGGAAGTCGGTTTGGGCGATGTTTTTATAGGTTCATCCTCCGAACTCGAAGTTTTAGCGTTAGTATCGGGAATTGACTTTTTCTTGGATGTCGGTTTCGGCGATGCTTGCATCTGTTCATCCTCTGAACTCAAAGTTTCAGCGTTCGTATCGGGAATCGACTTTCCCTTGGAAGTCGGCTTTGGAGATCCTTGTCTCTGTTCATCCTCCGAACTCGAAGCTTCATCGTCAGTATCGGGAATCGACTTTCCCTTGGGAGTTGGCTTGGCCAATGACTGCATCGTTTCGTCCTCTGATGACGAAGTCCCAGTGTTTGTACCGGAATTGGGCTTTCCCTTTGAGGTTGGTTGGTAAGATGATTGCATTTCTTCATCTTCCGAGCTCGAGGCACTATATACATATGTATCAGGATTTGACTCTTTCTTGGGAATTGCTTCTGACGATGACTCCATTGATTCATCCTCCGAGTCCGACGTAGCAACATGATTGTCTGAAAATGACTTGAGCTTGGCTGGTGACTTGGTCGATGACTGTGTTGCTTCTCCCTCCGAGCTAGACTGGGAGCTTGAACTGACTCGAGATGGGGAATGGGAAGCACTGGAAGATTCGTCCTCAATGGGTATAGAAATCTTTGAAGCGTGGTTTCTTTGTGAGCCGCTCATCTCCATGGCCCTTTTACCCGATGATCGGCGAGTGCGCGAGCGACTTCTGTGCACCTTGCCGCGAGCTGAAGTAGCAGCAGAACCTTCAGAACCGCTGGAGCCCGAGTGCTCTCTGGCGGAACTGAAAAAACAAGGTGTGCATGAGAATGTTACGTGCATTTAAATACAAAACGCAAACTCACCCAAAATCGGAGCTATCGGCACTTTCCTCGCTCTCTAGAATAAAAAATCATTCTTAACATGCTTTAAACTTAAATTGTTATCTTCTACAAACCACTCAGGTTCAAGCTATAGCTGTGCACTTTAGGATCCACCATAATTACTGCTGCGAGACTGTGATGAAACGAGTAAATTAAGCAAGTTCGCAACACTTTACGTACTTTTTAATTATATGTAAAGTGGTGGCAGAAAAGTGCTGTCACTTTCTATCGATTTATCGATAGAGATACAGGACCCTTACCTTTGCACATTTCTAGTTGAAAATCAGAGTTTTTGAGGGTAGAATTCATCTGACAACCCTGCTTTTAAAAGGCCTTGTGTTCGTACCTTTATTTAATTTTTATTACAAAATAGTAAGGAGCTGCCACAGCTTCACCAATTATACAAAATCGTTTTTAATTTAATATTGGGCCAACAGCAGTGTCCTCAGCCCTCATTCCACTCATTGGCAATAAAACATGAATTGGGATTTCCCACTTGTCACCGACTCTTGACGATATGGCCCGGACCTCTTGCCATATGGACGCAGCTCGGCGCTCTTTGCATTTAAATATTTTTATGAGTTCTCGATTAATTAAAACTCAACAACAAGCTCAACGGCCGCCGGACGGCACCTGGCCTCCAGGTCGTTGGAACGCAATGCATATTGCATATTATCCTGTGAAGAGGATGTCAACTCGAGGGCGGGGGAGAACGGTTGCAGGCGGACGACAACCACTGGCGAGTGCGGAGATCAAATGATTTATTCATAAATTGCGCACACGCTAAGGGCATAAAAAATGCTTGTAAGCCGCAAATAATAATTTGCAATAAGTCGCCGGTAATGAGGTTGCCATGGCAGTGGTAAAACCTGAACCTGTCGTTAAAGATTTTCAGCGTAAATTAATAAATTGCGAATAAATGGATGTGCTGAGTAGTTGACGGCCTTGTTGGGGTGCAATAATTGACTGTCAACTGCCTTACACTTGACTTGCCTAAAGCGCAGAGAGATCGTAAATGAAAGGTAATTTTTTAAGATAAATAAGATAATATATATTAGAAAACAGAAGTTGAATCTGATGATCTTTCAAAGAAAAATGTAATGGCAACTAGTTTTTTCAAATATTTAATGAGTTTAGCATTCTGATCTTATGAAAAATAGCTTCTCCATGAGAAATAAGTCACTTTAAAATATAAATCTACATATTTGACAGCAAAAATTTCATTCTAAATTGTTCTTTCCTCTCCACCATAACAAGCAAGCCCGCTCAAAAATTATATTTTCCTAGTTTCGAATTTCCAAAGACTTGAAATTATTTAAAAATTATTACATGGCATATAGCGGCATCCCACTTCCCGGAATTGTGTCTCCGGATGTAAGACTTTATTCAGATTCAATTCTCCAAAGTATGTAAACTTTCTTTTGATAACCAGGAAAGCGTCGAAGAGTTTGCAAAGCTCTATGGCAACAACAATGTGGGGAGGATGATGATAATGGCTTCAACAATCGGCAATCCGTACGGACTGCCTGGTAGGCTCGAGGAGAGTTATACTTCCGAATACTTTCCAAATTTGAGCCGCCCGGGTTACGTTGACGACCGATATGTACAGTGAGTATACAAATATAACAGTCCACCCATGAATATGGAATAGTTCCGTTTGTTCCAGAGCCTCCCACGGACCTAGAACCATGAGGCGTGGACGTGGGGGCTATGGTGACTATTGCAATCGGTCGCCAGCAATGGGGCACTCTAGCCCTAGATACTCACATCAGCAAGAAGGTTGGGCATATCCCAGGCCTTCCCAGGGCTCAGGGTCCACGAGACATGGAGGCTATGGTGACCATTATAGTCAGCGAGTGTACCCTCTGCAACAAGGACAGTTCTCCGTACCTGAACATCAAAGTCCATATAGCTTTCCAGCTCCAGAGAGATATCCCTGGCTTTAAGAGAAAAGAATCGTATGCCGCAATCAGCGGTGCATTGACTTAGCTACTGTTTGTTAATTTTTGTAAATAACGAGTTCCCCAAAATGTCACGTTCTGTTTGGAAAATAATGGATTGTTATACGCGTCAGTGGTGACTCGCAAAAATTATGAATAAATTGTGCATAATCAGGAGTTTCCGTGCCTATTTCATTAGGAGCTTGAAATTTACACGCAAATCCAATGATAATACTCCAATTTTCTGGTAATCAGATAAAGCGCAAGCAGAAAAACGAAAACAGGGTGGAAAAAACGGCTTAAACAGTTTAAAATAATTTCCACAAAACTTTTCACAAAACAAGGGGCAAACAGAGAAGGAAAAGAGCGGTAGGGGGAATGGAGCCCGTTTCGTTTGTATTTTCTTTCTGTTTGTTTGGGAACTCTCAACTGCGCCATTCAAGTTTGTTAAACATTAAAACGGAGCTGCAATAGAAAAACGCTAACTAAACGCGAGCAGACAGCAAACAAAGCATCCAGCGCCAGTGGATGGTGTATGGTATGTATGTGTTTGGGGCAAAACCAACACAAACAGTCTTCAACCCACACACTGGAATTGCCTTCCAGGCGCATTGCAAAATAAACCAACAGCAAAAATAAATATTAAAATTTGTGCAATAAAATGCCGAGCAATAAAACTAAAAAAAGTGAGGGGATAACCGAAAATAAAAAAACCAAACCAAACTAAATGGAAAGCAGAAGAAAAGCTGTAGCCAACAGCCGGCGAGTGTGTTAGTGTTTTCTTATAGACCGCCAGCGGAAGTGGCAACCGCCTCAAGTTTCGAAACACTCGTGCATGCACACACATAGCCCCACCCTCCACCAACTCACGCCCCTCCGCACCACCCACTGCACCACCACTTACTGTCTGTCTGCCTGCCTGCCCGTGTTGAAAAGCACCCAGGGAGCAGCGAGGGGTGCCGGCAGGCGGTTAGTTTATCGCGCTTACGAAATCTGCGGAACCGGCAGGATGTGGAAGGCATAGGGGCGCGGCACAAGTAATACAAAGTATATGAAAATAAAGAATCCAGATTGGGGAGGCCGAAGAATCGCCGAGAGAAATGCTGTAAAAATAAGTTTAATATATCCGCATTAAGATTGCCCAAGATTACTGCTCCCGGAGCTCGCACATCCACAGTGATGCCCACCATCCTTTGGCGGGACGAGCAAATATAAAAGTTTTGAAAGATGTGAAATTTTTTTGAATTCAATAAAATATTTAAAGAAGCATTATTTAGGTTGCGGATACTTTCAAGCTTAAGACAAATCTTTAACGAATTTTATACTTCACAATAGATTTTAGAAAAATTAAAATTTAAATAAAACAACTCTATCTCTGGTCACACTAATCGATGAGTTATGTCCTCAGAGAGAGCAAAAGTGGAATACAGAACTGAATGTGAAAATATAATCTAAAAAGCGCAATAAACAAATTATTAAAGACATCCTGTCACACAATTTAGTATTGCTGGAATAGCTACAAAGAAAGCCGGACTCTAAAAAAAGCTAATCTGGCCACACTGGCTTCCGCAAGATGGCGTCTGTCGATGGAGGAATTCACTTTGCGGTTGACTTTCGCCTTAAAGTATGCATTTCTTTCCTGCACTTTTTTGGCCCAGCAAAGCAAGGCAAACATCACGACTGAGGCAAGCAAGAAGCCAAAGCGAGCATGTGATGTGTGGGAGGGAATAACAAGAGGGAAAACCGAACCCGAAGAGAGGAAAGGAGTATGGAGCAAATGGAAAACGGCGGTTACTGTGGGAGGAGGAGAAAACAACACCTGCCAGCGGCAGTCGGAAGTGGGCGGGGACTATGTTGTGCGGACTGTTTTCGGTTGCCGCTCCCGCTTGGAATTCAATAAAGTGCCGCAAATGATTACTGCATAAAAGAAATGTGCAATCCGGTTTGCCGGTGTTTTTGCAGCTGTGCATCCGGCAGCATTTAGTCTATGAGAAAGTGTGGAAGAAGATCAAAGTTATGTGTAAACAGAAGCGGGCAAAACAATAGAAATGCAAATGGGAATATTTTAAATTATAAATTTAAGCTTTTTATTCTTACTATAGTCCGTGCACCTACCACAAACACACCTTTCCATCAACATATGCCTATGGATACAAACAACTTTTATTTACAAGTTTATCTATTTAATACTTGACCCAATGTTTCCAAATCCATTTCAATTATTGCAATATAAAGTAAGTTATCGATGCTATAACTACAACTATTTTTGTATTTGTGTATAGGAAGGGAATAAGCAAATGACGAATAGCTATGCAGCTGTAATAAAAATTAGATTATTCCATCAGTACTGAAATTGATTTTCTTCCTTCTACCGGGAATATCTCAGAAATCGATTTGACGTGCAACTGGGAAAATTTTCTCGATTTCCAGTTCCCCGTCGTTTGCCTTGAATGTTGGCCGAGATAACCAAGCAGAACTGTGGCCTTTTTCCACTTTGTTTGGCGGCTGCTCGCCCACTTAGATGACGACGCCCTCGCCCGGCAGAGAAGCACAGAGAAAGAATATTTCATTAATTGATTAATTTATTATACTTAATTTTGCAATGAATTGTTATAGGAATTCAGAATAGAGTTTTAAATTTGGAGACCTAATAATATGTTCTTTTGGAATATTTAAAATTATTTTTTGACTTAAAAATGATTTAAAATACCTCCATAAATGGGTAACACATTTCAAAATCTCTCTTTTATTAGTTTTTAAGACTGATTCTTTAGTTTATTCGCACAGAGGTTTGTATATTTTTTGTCGGTGCTGCGTTGGGACCAATGTCACAGCAAATTCGACGGAAAAGCGTCAACTTAATGGTCCACAACTGCTGTAGTACCCGCCATGTTTCTGGTGGCCCTGATGCTGTTTCTGCTGCTGCTGCAGCGTTCATGTTGCCGGCGTGTCAGCATTAGTCAATGCTCGGGGGCGGGGTGGCTGAAATGATTTTATGTTTGGCTTGAAGCATTGCAGCAGCCGCGACAACGACAACGGCAACGGTGGCGACACTAACAACAACCAATAGCAATGTGGCTGGTGACAGCAATGGCACAAGGCAACAAACATGCAACAATAAAGTTTTATGAAACAACGGCAACTACTAGAAAAGTGCTATGCGCCTGTTGTTCTCACTGTTGTTGCAGCAGTTGTTGCTGCGGATGCTGCTGCTGCTGCTGCACCTGACGTTGCGTTGAACTCATCGTCGTTGCTTTCGGCTATTTCCGTCAGCGAGCGCACTTAGTGCCACCCAGTCGTACAGACATGGATACGCTATTGCACTAAACGAATGTGTATTAACTTATTAAACTATTATAATCGATTTTAGGAATCTTTGGTACGTATAAAACTGGCCTAAGTTTGCTTGAAGGAACTTCTTGTGGAATGCCATTAATAATATTATATGAATATATATTTATTTTCTATGTTTCAGTGTATAAATTGCAAACTGCAGACGAGACGCGCATGCAAACTTTGCAGTTAATGACGCAACTGTGGCGTGTTTGTAAAGTGTTGAAATTGAAATTATACCTTAGGGGTTTTCGCTGTTGTTGCCGTTGTTCTTGTTGCTCGCTCCTATTGCTATTTTGTTGTTTGGGATGGTGTTGTTGTAGCTGTTGCTCTACTCTATGCACAAAATGCATTCAAGTGTAGTGCGTCAATGCTTGTTGTTCTTGTTGCCGGCAACAACAATGTTAATGAAAACAAACATTACCGAGAACAGCACACAGGGCACGGGAAGGTGATGGGGAGGAGATCGCAGCTGAATAGAGGCAACAGCGGCGCCCAACAGCAGCAGAACAACAACAAAACAGCAAAACGCCCTTAGCCAAATTGCCGAAGCAAAGACATTAGCCCTCCTGCCAGAGACTTTGCAAAGTTTCAGTCATGGGAGCAACATCAGCAGCTAATGCATATATGAGGGCAATTCCAGCTTGGCCCGTGCTTAATTAAGTTATGAAAAGTTCAATATTGGGTGAATAAAATATACCAGCACTGTTGAAAAACGATATAACAATGGAAATTGCAGTAGTGGTGGAGGGAAAAAATCCCAAAACCAATTGTTGCACTGGTTCGAAATTTCATATTTCTGTAATTTTGTAATTCTTTACAATCTATTTTATTTTGAGTCTTAAGAGATTATATAAAGACAAGGAAGATATCTAAACTTATTTGAGTTTCATTAAGTTGTATTTGGAAAACATAGGCTCAAGCACAAGGAACCCATCAATTTGTCTGAATAGACAGTTTTAGAATATTATTATAGTAAATAGCTAATAGCTCCTTCAATTATTATCTATTGTTAAAACTACATATTAATGAATACATAAACTTAAAGCTAGAAAAAAGGTTTTTGTTAGGCCTTCGAAGAGATGTGGCTATGCATCTGTTGCAAACTTTATTTACCCAACCTGCTCTCGTTTTAGAGAAAAGTTTCAGCCATTTAATTAAGTTCAAACAAAATTGGCATTCAATTTGCCTTCGCTCCGCGATTCGTATTCATTGTCTGCGCAATGCCGTGGACATCATTTAGGTACACTAATACCGATTTACGAGCCTCCATCTATGGAGAACGCCCAGGCCATAAACACGCTCCACCTCGCCCCTCAGCTCCGGCATTTCCATTCGCCATTGCCAACCAATAAACTAAAATAAAATGCCAACGCAGGACACTTAAAAGTCTGTAACTTTTTATGGCCAGCGGACGAGCGCTGATGATGGCCAGCCACATCATTATCAACGTCAACGTTGAGAGACCTGCTGTTCCTCCGTCACTTCACTTTTCTTCCGTTCAATCCTCCGCTCCTCGTTTTCCCTCTCGCATCTCATCTGCTGATGAACCGAAACCGGAAAGACAAAGGCGACAAAAAAAACCTACTCAAAGTTAATCAAATTAAGTTTCGGCTGCTTTTGTAAATCTGCGCAAACAATGAGCCGGAGTCCCATTGAGCAGAATCCCGAGAAAGGACAACGAATGGACTGCTGGACGCGTAAATTAATCATCTTTTTTGCCTACTCTCCTCATTCTCCACCGTTTTTGTCTAGCCTAGAACTTTGGCTTGGGCTTGGGCTTTGGCTAGGGGGTTTTGTGGTTTGGTGACGTTGAATGATATTTCCTCTTCAATTTGTAAAAA